TAATATATGTAAAAAATTACTCCGCATTCTGAAGATGAATATAAGATTTTTACACAGGACGGATAGTTGGAGAATAGCTGAAGGGAATAGATACAATGATTTAATTGTTACGTATGTTTGTCTTAAAATGCAACACTCATGGCACAAGACCCTAAAAACAGCAAGATGCAATGCACTGACAAAAAAAAGGAGTGGATGAAAAATAGAGCGCTTGGATGAGTTATGTTAAGGGCATACATATCTTAATGTACATGGAAAGTGTTTTACTATATGTATGTGATATTTTTATAACAGGATGGAATGAGCTCTTGATCGCGGCCTTCTCTCACCGCTCCATCAGCGTAAAGGATGAGATTCTGTTGGCCACAGGTCTACATGTGTCCAGAGACAGCACTCACAACCTGGGAGTGGAGGCCTTTTTTGACAGGTCACACTGAACACTGTGTTTTACATCTGTTTAATAATGTAGTATTTTTAGAGGCTTAATGTTCATAATGTCTGTACAGGGAGAGTGCACACAGTGCAGAGGTGGGAGCCTTATTCGACAGGTAATGCCTAACATCTTTTTCACTTATATTTACCTAATGTCTGTGTACCAGTAATTCCACCTTTCAGGTGATTTAGACCTCATTGTATGGTTAATTTTCTCATTTCTTACACATCTGCAGGGTGCTGACTGAGTTGGTCTGTAAGATGCGTGATATGCAAATGGACAAAACTGAACTTGGCTGTCTGCGTGCCATAGTTCTGTTTAACCCAGGTATGCATTTTTTTGTAGATGTTTTTCTTCCTCTAGAATTTATTTAAAGGACAATGTCAATAACAGTTCAATGGATGATATATTTCTGAATTTGTCTTATTTCTTTACATTTGTTACTCTATGTTGATTGATTGTAATTTTTTTTAAAGGGGTTTATAGTCATCATTTACTCACCCTATTGTTGTTCTAAACCTGTGTTTTCCCTTGTGTGGAAAACAAAATAAGATATTTAAAAAAATGTCTCCAATGTTTTTTTTTTGTCTGTACAGTGAAAGTCAGTGTGGTCCAATGTTATTTTGGACACCAGTGACTTTCATTGTATGGACAAAAAAGGTTAAACATTCTTCAAGATAAATTTACATTCTTCTAAATATCAAAACATCTGGTTTGGAATAACATGAGGAAGAGTAAACCACGCCAGAATTTTTTCATTTTTTAGATGAATTATATCTTTAATTACCTGAAAACATGTAAAGTCATGTAAATTCCTTAAACTATGTTCTTTTATCAGGTTAAGGTCAAACAGTTTAAAGGTGAAGTATGTAGTTTCTGCGACACTGGTGACACCTAGCATCGACATTGACAAATACTAAGCATATTTTGCCATCGTTCTTTTGAACTTCACGCCTCCCTCAAATCAAACATCACAGCACAGCCCTTATGGGTGTTTGTGAAGGCATGTCTCAACAGATAAAAGTTGGCTACTTTCAATAAAATAGTGAACAAATTAGGAATACTTTTAGCTGTGATGCTATGTGTCATGAGTAAGCAATTGAGTAGACTAACACTGTCTAGAGCGAATGTGTGTGTTTCGCTTTTTATAAACTCATCCAACACATCTGCAATGGACGCATTTTTAACATAATTTGCCATAACTATTTGAGGCTGTCTACACTTGACACATCAAAGTAAACAATATATAAACTTGTTCATTTGTCTTTCTAAATGGGTGCATGATGATGCTGTATAGGGCTGGGCGGTATGACGGTATATATCGTTACCGCGGTAGAAAATGTCAACCGTAACAGATTGTTTTTATTCCGTGTATACCGCGACATGTAAATAAGTGGCCGTGGTTAACTCCCGTGCAGCGTGCGTGAGACTGAGACATGAAGATTTGTCAAAGAAACATGGAGAAAGCAGATCAAGAGGATCCACAAAGGAATTACGTTTTCTAAAGGGTTGTTGTTAACGTGATATTTTCGGGGGGAAAGGCGCAACCGTCAACTAGAGCAGTGCAGCACCCGTAGCTACAGTTTAGGGGAGTGCACGCTCGCAACGGGGAAAGCATGAAGCTTAGGCTACTTGACAACATATCAACATCGTAAAGGAATAGAAATAACCTTAAATGTATAGTTATCTGCATCTTTCCGTCTCTTATGTATAGTTACTTTTTAAAGGGACACTATGCAGCTTTTTTAGCTTAACTGAACAGCTTCAGAGTTATTGAAATGGTTATATAACTTCTTTCGGGTTGAATGGTGGGCGTCTCGACCCCCCCTGGTGCCTGTGAGCAAAAAAATCCCACTTGCAACTTCGGTGCGGCGGGCCGCGTCAGGAAGTATCGCGTGATATCAGCTCTCGCGATGTAACATATTCCTTTACGGCAACTGCACACATACACACAGGAACAAGGTATAGATGGATGGAGTTTGTCACACTATCGTCATGCTGAGCCGGCATATAAGATGCAGAAAGCTAGGAAAGCATTGTCGGAGGAACAGAGAAAGAGGAAACGGCAGACTGACCGAGCGAGGAGTCGGACACGAGCATAGGCATAATTTGCGGGTGTGTTATGTCCCCATTGAAACTTCTCGCGGCACGGATGTAACGTTACCATTACAAACAAATAAAACATCTCCAGGTAACTCTAGTAGAGCATTCATTTCGTTCGTTTGTTAAATAAGAGGCGATCTGAAATGTGTTATTTTTGAAATCAAGTGACCAAAGTGCTCGTTGCCTCTGCGATCAGTGGTGCAGATAAGTTACAGTGTTCTGTTGTGACGCGCGCCTGAATCCGTTGCGGGGACTGAGAGACTCTCTATATTTTGTTATGGTAAAATCACAAAACCTAATGCACAAAAAACATGTCCCTGCTTGAAATACAACCACTAATAAACAATCGGTTTTGATGAGGAAAATAAACTATACTACTAGTACCGATTAGAACCCAGAACCTCTGACACACTTGGCAAAAGTTCTGCCTCTGGACCATTAAAATTGTCGGATCTATGTATTTAATCACGTGAAAATTCTCACCACTAACAACATATATTATATCTCATTAAACGACAAATTAAACACAATGTACTATTGTATACTATGTAACAGGCCATGTCACGCTCTGAGTGAGTGGTATTTACGACAGTAACGTTAAATTCAAGTACTCCACAGTAACTCTAGGGGTCGCTGTTTGACAAAAACGGGATTTCTGCATAATGCCCCTTTAAACATGAAAATTGCATCCAGCATGACACGCAAGCGGTTGCCATGGTAATGAACAACCTGCTTGTTAAAGCGAATGTATAATCCTGTATCTGAGGCAAAATTACTAAATATGCAGCGTGAGTTATATATTTCTAACTCCAAACAATTGGCCACTGAACCAGCTGATAAAATCTTCCTTTGGTTAATTTGAGTGTCAAGTTGTAATCACGTATCGAATCAATCACATTTTACTGATGCAAAAGACACGCGAGTGCACACGCACTGAGAGGGAGCGCGGTGTGTCAGTGTTCACTGGGCTGTGGTAAAAAAAATGACGCAGTTACAAGGTGTGTATAATTTAAACCACTTAGTCAACACTAACAGTAGCTGCTGTTTGGTTCATACTGCTCCTTCTAGTCACTTCTGAACTTGAACTTCTCTTGATTAAAGCTCCAGGTGACGAGTTGCCAGATATCACAAAAAGAACAAAACAAGCCCCTTAAAAAGACATGGCAAAAATGTACCGGGTAACGCATTTAAACATAACTAGTATTACTAATATCCTACAAAATTAAAAGGAAGTAAATAATTTATTATGAATAGAATAGTTCAATATAAAATATTCAGATATTATAAACTGATTGATGAATAAAGCAATACCATGAGATTGAAAAATTATTCAGGAACAGTATTTAAAGTTTAATTGCACCTATGAGTTGTATTTAATATCAATCAGTTGGGGGCAGTTCATCTAAAAGTTGAGTGTTTTTTGTTTATTATATTAGCTATCAAAATAGTTTACCAAATAAATAATTTACCAAATAAAAGAAAAAGAAAAATCAAACAAGGTGAAGTACTTTTCATTTCTAAAGTATTTGGGTTTATTTATTATACAAATCCCTTATGTCGATTTTTCGAGAATAACTACAAATATAAATAACTATATCGTGAAATATATTGTTACCGTGAAATAAAATTAGTCATACGTGAAACAGAATTTTGGTCATACCGCCCACCCCTAATGCTGTATGGTATTCCATTGTGTCCAGCACGTAGCTTCGCAATGCCCCATTTACTTTGACGTGTTAATGACCTGTTTAATTTTTTAAGGTCTAAATGCAGTGAATTTTTTTCCCCATGTAATGCGTCAGCCATGGTCCCACACCGGCTAAACGCCCTCAGCCTCTGCTACAGTAGCCAGTCCCCAAACTCTTGCTATAGGTTGAGCTGATGAAACAGATGGACAGATCTGAGCGGACTGCTCTCAATGTTTACATGGTGCCTGGAACGCTCAATGTTTACAATTTTGGGGGAGATAAACCCATGAATGGCATACCAATAGTAGTCAGTGACCAATAAACTGGGTTAAGAGAATGTATTTTAACAACAAATCTTACATACTTCACCTTTAAGCCAAACCTGATTGGCACATCTAGATTTGACCCTGAATTCACTGTGCTTGTCAACACCTTGACTGGCATTTTGGCAGGAAAAAAATCAAAGTAATAAATATGTACAGTGAGGAAAATAAGTATTTGAACACCCTGCTATTTTGCAAGTTCTCCCACTTAGAAATCATGGAGGGGTCTGAAATTGTCATCGTAGGTGCATGTCCACTGTGAGAGACATAATCTAAAAAATATATATATACAGAAATCACAATATATGATTTTTTAACAATTTATTTGTACGATACAGCTGCAAATAAGTATTTAAACACCTGTATATCAACTAGAATTCTGACCCTCAAAGATCTGTTAGTCTGCCTTTCAAGTGTCCACCTCCACTCCCTTTATTATCCTAAATTAGATGCACGTGTTTGAGGTCGTTGGCTGCATAAAGACACCTGTCCACCCCATACAATCAGTAAGAATCCAACTACTAACATGGCCAAGACCAAAGAGCTGTCCAAAGACACTAGAGACAAAATTGTACACCTCCACAAGGCTGGAAAGGGCTACGGGGAAATTGTCAAGCAGCTTGGTGAAAAAAGGTCCACTGTTGGAGCAATCATTAGGAAATAGAAGAAGCTAAACATAACTGTCAATCTCCCTCGGACTGGGGCTCCATGCAAGATCTCACCTCATGGGGTCTCAATGATCCTAAGAAAGGTGAGAAATCAGCCCAGAACTACACGGGAGGAGCTGGTCAATGACCTGAAAAGAGCTGGGACCACCGTTTCCAAGGTTACTGTTGGTAGTACACTAAGACGTCATGGTTTGAAATCATGCATGGCACGGAAGGTTCCCCTGCTTAAACCAGCACATGTCAAGTCCCGTCTTAAGTTTGCCAATGACCATTTGGATGATCCAGAGGAGTCATGGGAGAAAGTCAAATAGAACTTTTTGGTCATAATTCCACTCGCCGTGTTTGGAGGAAGAAGAATGATGAGTACCATCCCAAGAACACCATCCCTACTGTGAAGCATGGGGGTGGTAGCATCATGCTTTGGGGGTGTTTTTCTGCACATGGGACAGGGCAACTGCACTGTATTAAGGAGAGGATGACCGGGGCCATGTATTGCGAGATTTTGGGGAACAACCTCCTTCCCTCAGTTAGAGCATTGAAGATGGGTCGAGGCTGGGTCTTCCAACATGACAATGACCCGAAGCACACAGCCAGGATAACCAAGGAGTGGCTCTGTAAGAAGCATATCAAGGTTCTGGCGTGGCCTAGCCAGTCTCCAGACCTAAACCCAATAGAGAATCTTTGGAGGGAGCTCAAACTCCGTGTTTCTCACCGACAGCCCAGAAACCCGACTGATCTGGAGAAGATCTGTGTGGAGGAGTGGGCCAAAATCCCTCCTGCAGTGTGTGCAAACCTGGTGAAAAACTACAGGAAACGTTTGACCTCTGTAATTGCAAACAAAGGCTACTGTACCAAATATTAACATTGATTTTCTCAGGTGTTCAAATACTTATTTGAAGCTTTATCATACAAATAAATAGTTAAAAAAAATCACACATTGTGATTTCTGGATTTTTTTTTTTAGATTATGTCTCTCACAGAGGACATGCACCTACGATGACAATTTCAGACCCCTCCATGATTTCTAAGTGGGAGAACTTGCAAAATAGCAGGGTGTTCAAATACTTATTTTCCTCACTGTATATATATATATGCAAACATTTTTAGTATATCCTCTCAAGGGACAATACTATAGAACTGAAACTTGGATATATTTTAGAGTAGTCAATGAGCTGCTTGTATAGCAGTATATATTTACTGTCCTCTGAAAATAACTCAACATACAGCTATTATTGTCAAAATAGCTGGCAACAAAAGTGAGTACACCCTAAGTGATAATAGCTGGATTGTCGTTTAACTATGCAAAGCCACATGTCCTATTCATAATTTTCATGTTTTTGTCTGCTTGACAGGACCATACAAATGTTGGATCTTGTATTAGAGCAGTTACAATTTGTGCTTCGAGTACAATTATCTCATACTGACCACTGGATGTTCAACATGGCGCCTAATGGCAAATAACTCTCTAAGGATTTGAGAATTAGAATTGTTGCTCTCCATAAAGTTGACCTAGGCTATAAGAAGATTGGTAACACCCTGAAATTGAGTTACAGTACAGGCCAGGGTCATACAGAGGTTTTCCAAGACGGGTTCCACTCGGAACAGGCCTCGCAAGGGTCAATCAAAGAAGATGAGTCCTCGTGGTGTGCGTCAGGTGCAGAAGCTGGCTTCAAAAAACAGACGCATGAGTGCTGCCAGCATTGCTTTAGAGGTTGCAGAAGTGGAAGGTCATCTTGTCAGTGCTCAGACCATACGCCACACACTGCAATAAGTCAGTTTGTATTAGTGTTGTCAAAAATATCGATATTTCGATAAATATCGATACTGAAATATCTGAACGGTACCAATACTAATTTCCCGAAGTATCGATACTAGCCGAGCGGTCACTTTCACTTCTCTTCAAAGGTGCGTTGACAAACACCACACGTGACGCACTCGTCTCATTCGCTCTGGTTAAATAGCAAAAGTGAAGTGAATGGAAAGATGGCGAGGGCAGCGCCCCCTCGACCGGCTTTGGTTGATTGATAAAGAACACCGCGAGCGGGCATGCCGGAGAATAGCGCGGACACGAGCTACACACCGCGAGCGGGCATGTCGGAGAATAGCGTGGACACGCGAGCGTGCTGCGGGCACCCAACAGATTGTTTGACTATCAATAATCCCTCACATTTTTTAAAATTATTGTATAGGTGAAAACAGACTTAAGGAACAGGCTCCAGGGGTACCATTTAGCAGCATATGCTCAGCATCACGGGTGTTTGTTGTTTGGACAGACCTGCCCCCACTGCTAAAAAAAAATCCTAAAGGAAACACTGTAACTCTTCTCATTTGAACTTTTCTGAAACATTAACCAAGATGGCCTAGTATTGTTGTTGATATGAGTCTGTGTTGTCTCATTTTTTTCACCGTAATTCTTAAAGTTAACCTACCGGTAATCTGACTGAGGAATCTTAGACTAGTAAATATTGTAACTGTGGTCAAATGTAAATTAACTTGTGCCTATTTAACTTTATTCAAAAATTATTATTTAATTCTGCAATTTGCCTTCATTAGCGATTATCATCAATTTGTTAGCTAGAAAATGGCATCTCTGAATTCAATAATGAAATGCCTTTAACTGAAAATTGAATGTTTAATCTTATTATTATACATTACTGACACTCTATCCTCCAATTTGATACTGTTAAGTGCTTTTTTGTTACAGTATATTTTAATCTTTGATTAAAACAGTAGGTAATAAAAATACATCATGTTAGATCTGGTCCAATTAAAAAATATTAACAAATAGAACTCAGGACATTTTTGTTCATGTAAAATATACCTCATTGTCATGTTCTAGACTTGTTATATTTAGCTTTAAATTAAAAAAATACCCCCTTAATTTTGTGGCAGTTTTTCATAAAACTGCATGAGTGCTGCTGGTACTGGGGAGCTGAGCTTCATTGAGGGAAACATGGATTCCAACATGTACTGCGACATTCTGAAAGCAGAACATGATGCCCTCCCTTCAGAAACTGGGCTGAACGGCATGATAACGATCCCAAACACACCGCAAAGATGACAACTGCCTTGCTGAGGAAGCTGAAGGTGAAGGTGAAGGTGATGGAGTGGCCAAGTATGTCTCCAGACCTAAACCCTATTGAGCACCTGTGGAGCGTCCTCAAGCGGAAGGTGGAGAAGTGCCATGTGTCTAACAGCCAGCAGCTCCGTGATGTCATTATGGAGGAGTGGAAGAGGATCCCAGAAACAACCTGTGCAGCTCTGGTGAACTCTGTCCAGGAGGATTAAGGCAGTGCTAGATAACAATGGTGCTCACACAAAATATTGACACTTTGGACACAGTTTTGACATGTTCACTTAGGGTGTACTCACTTTTGTTGCCAGCTATTTTGACAATAATGGCTGTATGTTGAGTTATTTTCAGAGGACAGTAAATATATACTGCTATACAAGCAGCACATTGACTGCTCTAAAAAAAGTTTCATTTCTATAGTATTGTCCCTTGAGAAGATATACTAAAATGTTCGCTGAAATGTGAGAGGTGTACTCACTTTTGTGAGATACTGTATATTGTGCATGCCTTTGACATCAAAACTGGAGAAAAACCCAAAGTGTATGCTGAATATTTCCAATATTTCTTAGATGCCAAAGGTCTGACCAGCAGCAGTGAGGTGGAGCTTCTCAGAGAGAAAGTATACGCGTCCCTGGAGTCCTATTGCAAGCAGAAGTATCCAGATCAGCAGGGGAGGTGAGTGTTCTGTACTGACATGGGGCCAATTCACCAATAGCCTACGCAGTATTTCATCACCAAAAGTTTTATTCTCTAGACACCTCCAATCCAGTTTAAGCAGGTGCTGATGCTCTGAAAAATCACATTTGTATTGTGCATACAAATAAATTATGCTATTGGACACAATTCAGTCTTTGCCCACCTTTTCACTGACCCTCATAACTAAACGGGTGTTGTGCCTTTTAAACTAGTACATGTAAATGACCTCTTTTATGATTGACTGACCTTTTTTCTATGTGAAATCCACAAGCGTAGTTCACACTGTCGTTCATAAAAGTCATGAACAGTCATTTGTTACCGTGCTCCTGGTTGTTAGGGAGACGCCCCCAAAAATCTGCCCCCTTGCTTACTCACAGGTTTGCCAAGCTCCTCCTCCGGCTTCCTGCGTTGCGTTCCATTGGCCTTAAGTGTCTGGAGCACCTTTTCTTCTTTAAACTGATTGGAGACACCCCCATTGACACTTTCCTAATGGAGATGCTGGAGTCGCCCCACTAACTGCGGCAGAGGAAGATTGGGAGACAGGGTTTTTCTACCCTAGGTCCTGGAGATAACTGTGACTGCACTTTTTCTTCCCAGGGGAATTACAGCGATTGGTCAGCCTCTGGTCTGGGGGTATTTTTTTCATTTATGTCTTTTTTTTTCTCTCTTGACTGTCTCTTAAGTGCACCATAGAATCTAGAGACCCAAACCTTGCCATGAAAAATTATTGGTGCTACATTTCAACAGTAAGCTAATTATATATATATATATATATATATATATATATATATATATATATATATATATATATATATATATATAAAACTCAATGTTTTTAAGTATGGAAGCTCCAGTTACCTGACTGGTTTAGATAAGTGGGGTTTACATTTTGATAGATTTGAGGCTTTTAAAACACTGTGGATGATAAGCTTTAATCATATGTAAGTGTGCTACACCATCTCTTAAGTTTCGGTGCTTTCTTCCTGTACGGATAATTTATTTTCCCCCGACCTGTAAGGACTGGTCAAGTGGGTGAATAGATGAATTAATTAATTAATTCGGTATTATTGATTTAAATTGACATTTACTTTGCTAGCACGAGAAATCTGGCAAAGAAATCTATATGCAATGAAGCTTGAATTGATGCAAAACAGAAAAGTCTACAGTCATGGTCAGAATTGATGGCACCCTTGGTAAATATGACCAAAACTAGCTGTAAAAAATAAATCTGCATTGTTTATCCTTTTGATCTTTCATTAAAAAAATTGGCAAAATTCTAACCTTTCTTTGAAGTAAAAGATTTGAAAGTGGGGGGGAAATCACATTATGAAATAATTTGAGTAAAATATCTCTGAAGGATATTCCCATTAATATTTACCTTTTTTTTAGCACACCAGGGTGACTAGGAACATGAAATTGTCCAGCCATGACTTCTTGTTTCACAGGAGTTTAAATATAAGGAAACTCAAATGCCAAATTCCCTTAATCATCCTTCACAATGAGTAAAGCCAAAGAATATAGTTCTGATGTGCTTCAAAAGATTGTTGACCATCACAAAATAGAAAGTGGCTGTAAGAAAATAGCTAAAGAATTGAAAATCCCCATTTTGATCATCAGGGCAATAATTAAGAAGTTTCAATTAACTAAAGATGTTAGGAATCTGCCAGGAAGAGGACGTGTGTCTATATTGCCTTAATGGACGGTGAGGAGGAAAGTTTGAGTGGCCAAAGACTCTTCAAGGATCACAGATGGAGAATTGCAGAGATTAGTTGAGTCTTTGGTGTCACAAAGCCTATAAAATAAAAATCAAACAACCCCTACATCACCACATGTTGTTTGGGAGGGTTTCAAGAAAAATCCTCCTCGCTCATCCAAAAACAAACTCCAGCAAATTCAGTTGTCAGACACGACTGGAACTTCAAACGGCACAGGCTTCTGTGGTCAGTTGAAACTAAAAAAAGAGCTTTTTGGCAGCAAACACGCTAGATGGGTTTGGTGCACACAAGGATAAAAAGTACCCCATGTGTACAATTTAATAAACCGTTGGATCTTTAATGTTGTGGCCATATTTTTCTGCTGGAGGTCCTGGACTTCTTGTTCAGATACATGGCATTGTGGATTCTATCAAATATCAACAGATAAAAAATCAAAACCTGACGGCTTCTG